TGAAACCTCGCATCTCGATAAATCTCTAAAACCTCTCATCTCTGATAATTCTCTGAATTCTCCCATCTCTAATACTTCTCTGAAACCTTCCATCTCTTTAAATTCTCTGAAACATCCCATCTCTGATAATTCTCTGAAACCTTCCATCTCTGTAAATTCTCTGAAACCACAGAACTCTGTTAATTCTCTGAATTCTCCCATCTCTAATAATTCTCTGAAACCTCTCATCTCTGATAATTCTCTGAATTCTCCCATCTCTAATACTTCTCTGAAACCTTCCATCTCTTTAAATTCTCTGAAACATCCCATCTCTGATAATTTTCTGAAGCCTTCCATCTCTGTAAATTCTCTGAAACCTCAGAACTCTGTTAATTCTCTGAATTCTCCCATCTCTGATAATTCTCTGAAACCTCGCATCTCGATAAATCTCTAAAACCTCTCATCTCTGATAATTCTCTTATATATAATTATAATTATATAATTCTTCTTTGTTTAATAATCAGTGACTATATGATCTAAGCCAACTCATCTAACTGCATTTGACCAAAATGAGATTGAATTAAATGCTTAAAATTTATAATTAAATTATCACCCGATTTAACGCAAAACATAGAATTTTGTAAAAGAAAGAGGGGTCAGAAAATACATTAGTAATTTTACTATTTGATGTTTGGGTAAAGTTATGATATTGCCCGAAATTATTCTAGAATTGTGGCTCAAGCGCTCGGCACAGAAATAAATAATTTTTCGTAATGAGAACTCAAGAACCCATGCAAATGTTAAAAAATGCTTTGCAGTATAAAAAAAAATGTTAAGCTTAAACATTTTGAAGGCTTAATATCGTATAACTTGATAAAATATCATGATAAAACCATGACATTTAAATTAGTCAGAAACAGATGATTATAGAATATAACAACACCATCGATGCAGATAGATAGATGAAAAATGAACATCTGGTAGCNAACCTGAAGTCTTGTCTATGGTTGAAAGGCTTCGCGGAGTACGGTTCGGAGATGCTACCAAACTGTTCAAGTCAGTTGTTCCCCGGACGGAGAGTAGGAAAGACGTGTACAAAGTATCTCTTTGCTCACTGTTCTTGATAACAAGACAATGGTTGAAGAAATTTTAGATTGATATCATTGTTTCAAGGCAAATTATACAAAAAGAAGTTTTTTCCTTTTTTTAAATTTATAAGCTGGTGACAAGGACAAAGTGGATTTCTTGTCATCTTATTTCTTTCTTTTTATTAGCATGAATTTCCACTTCCAGCACAAAATTTCAGATATGAATATATTATTTAGCTAATTTAAAAGTTTTAAACTTGATGAATATTATACCATAAAACTAAAATACAAAGGAAGTAAGTTTTTTTCCACAAACTCGCATTTTCTAACCCCTATATCTTTGCAACTCTATGGTGTAAACCTTTGATATTTCAAACTTAGACTATTTGATCTAACATAATTAATAGTTTGAAATATCAAAGGTCTTGAAAAACGGGTTGCATATTGTAAAATCAGAATTTGTGGCAAAACTCAAATCTTTTGCGAAAAATTGGTGGCAACAATTGCAACAATGACTTTTTTAGCTAAAAACTTTTTAAAAAATGTTTCTTTTTTCAGATAAATAATGATGGTCGGAATAATGAAACATATTTTAGCAGGTAAAAGGAAACAGTAAAAGTTTTTTTCAAGATGGAAGGTAGAGATATTCTTGTTTGTCTCTTTTGATAATTGATTTAGTATTGTTGTGTCCTAATCTAAAAATGGTGAGTGTATTGGTTTCATTTTCAGAATATTTTTAAAGACCTTGCATTTTTCTTCTTAGATTAAATATTCAAAGTTATGAATATCAAAGGTTTACATCATCAAGTTGCAAAGATATAAGTAGTAGAAAATTAGAGTTTGTGACGAGTAAGCAGTTTTTTGCCAAAGAAACTGTGCTCTTGCCACAATCTCGAATTTAATAATCCCTATAACTTTGCAACCTGATGAAGTAAACCTTTTTTATTTGATCTGACAAAATTCATAGTTTGAAATATCAAAGGTATACGACAACTAAGACGGAATTTAAACAATTTGAGCCGCGGCTTAAATTTAAGCTGCGGCTCAAATATGGTTGGTTTCCACTTAAAATCTTATTCAATGTTTCAATATTTCAGCCGGCGCTCAATTGAAACCGGTTTTTACGGGATTTGAGACGCGGCTCAAATTCATTTAATTCGGACTCTGGTTGCAAATTTTGAACAACGATTCAAGGTTAAAGTTTCTTGAGGATTTAAATCGGTGATTAAGAATTTGACCGGCGGTATGCAGTTCAGCGACCTCTCCAATTCATTAAATTCAGTTCACGGGATGTTTACAAAAATTTACTCGTACAATGTCCAGTCATACTTGCAATGTATAATTAAAGTGTTATAATAAAGTTAAATCCAACAGCGTGGGATTTTATTTTAAATTGTATTTTCAATGTTTACAATTTAAACAACATTTTCCCTTCAAACCATCTTCTTCCAAGGTCAATCAAACTACAAGCTGTTTATCTTTAACTAGAATTTGTTTGTATTTTTCTGAAAAGTATTTTTCTGAAAAATATCCTTTGTGACCTTGTATCGCTTCTAGTTCTGATTTTATACGGCAAAGTTAAGAAAATCAATTTTGTTTGGTTACACTTCAATAATTCAAATATAACATTATAGGTTTAAATCTAACTCAAAATAAATTTGTTAAAATATTAATAATTTACAATGGACATACACGATTTATAATAGTTTTTATTTAAAATATCTAATGTCAATTTAATGATAAATTTAGGAACTTTAGTTTTTCAATATAAAATGAAAGTCCATTTATAGAGAGAATATTTGATTAAAAGAAATAAATTAGAAAGATTAGAAAACGGTTTACTTTTTGCCTTTTAACACTGTTCTTTCATTGTAATAAACACAATTAATGAAAGGTTAAGCAGTGGACACTAGGACACAAGACACTAACACCATCTGTTGTTTTTATTACAAGTTCATATCTGTGTTTTCAAATAATACCTTGATTCTGAACCTGGTTAACTAAAATTATTTCTTTGAAAAAAATGTCGTTGATTAAAAAAACTGTTGATTAAATCTCCTTCCCGGAAGATGATAATCTTTATGTGATATGACAGATGTAGCATGTTAGAACCTCACTTGTTCACATACAATACACTGTGATAACAGCATATTTTAACCACAACAGCAATTATTCACGCGGTTACAACGTTTAATTTACCGTGCAGTTACAAGGGTGTCATAACAAACATGATAATCTAAGGAAAACCGGATACAATAACAAATATGCATTATAAGGACGTACTGTAATTTTTAATTTAAAAAATATTAATATAAAAGTCTAAAAATTGTTTTGAATAAATGTCTTTATTTAAACTGGCCATGCATATTCGAGATCATTCTTGGTTATAATTTATTTGTCTTGTCAGAGCCCGAATTTAATGAATTTAAGCCGCGTCTCAAATCCACCAAAAACTGGTTTCAATTTAGCGCCGGCTTAAAGTTTGAAACATGGAATAAAATTTTAAGAGAAACCAGTAATATTTTAGCCGCGTCTAAAATTTAAGCGGCGGTTCAAAATCTTTAAATTCGGCCTCTCTGTTTTGATCATAGCATGATCGGACAGAGCTTGTTTTTTTTGGTTCGTTTCTCATGTTTTAGGACTATGAACTTTCAACATTTCAAATTAATATGTGTTCTGTAAAAAATTTTGGTTAGTTTTTTGGCATACATTTTTTCAGAGTCCAGAGTCCGAATTTAATGAATTTGAGCTGCGTCCCAAATCCGCCAAAAACTGGTTTCAATTTAGCGCCGGTTTAAATTTTGAAACATGGAATACAATTTTAAGAGGAACCAGCAATATTTTAGCCGCGTCTAAAATTTAAGCGGCGGTTCAAATGCTTTAAATTCGGCATTTGTAAGTAAAGCAAATTTTCAGAATAAACAATTTTGAAAATAATATTTAAAAAGCCTTAAAAGTTTTTTAAAAACGAACTAATCTATCTCCCATCACTATTACTAATTATACACTGTATTTTATTAGTGTCATGATTTTCATTCTAATCAGTTGTAATATTATTATTAGTATCATCTTATTTTAAAAAATAAAATCGTTTTTTTAATAAATCATTTAAAAACTATATTTCAGACGAAAGGCCAAATTCAACATTTTGATTAATAATTTAAAAAGCCCTAGGCCGTCATTAAAGTGAACTTTTACTGGTTAAATCTGTTTCTACATGAAAGGGTGTTGAAAAAAAAACTCGAGAGTTAAATACCCGTCTTTCAGAGCGGGATTGACAAAATAGTTTTTAATTATGTAGTCCTTACTTTTGGGATTTGAGTTAGCAAGAAATTTACGTTTTTCGTATTAAAGCATGTAAAATGTGTATACAAAGACGACGTCTCTACGACAATCAATTAATCATTACTCGTATTTTGGTTCGTAGATTTTGTAGATTTTGTTCCCGTATGTGCACAACTTTTCATTTTTCATGCCGCGTTCAATTCAGTTTTTTACACAGGCAATACAAAATTTTGAATGCGATAAAATAGTGTTATTTTAGAAATAGAAAGTTAAAAAACAAAAAAAATCAAAAAATAATGACATTTACAATTAACGATTAGATACTACAGTTTAATTTTATATTCGAAATTTATTTTGATTCACAACATATACTGAAAAAAACATCAAATAGTGTCTATGAGAGGGGGACCGTCCCTTTGCGCTCGAATTCTGAACGAAAAATCGGCTTTTTCTCCGGCCACAGTTGTCTTTGAAAAGTAAGACTATTACCAATCAACAGCGAATAGGCTGTTTAGTTTACCCTGAAATTACCTAAATAAGTGAACGGTCCCTTTAAACATCAGTATTTTCATTATTATTGTAACAGTTATTCAAATGCTTGAATAAAAAACTTCACTTTGGTTTACAACTTTACACATGGCAATAATAATAATTATTATTTAATCCAGTAGAGTGGAACAAAATGGAAACATAACTGTTTATCCATTCTACTTTACTCATCAGTAATAAATCAGACAGATTGAAGGATAAAAAATTTTGAGGGTTAATAAAAACGACAATTTTTATAAATTCTAAACAAGTAATCGGCAAAATTTGTATCAATTTTTGTTTAAGAATTTGCAACCTTTGAATTGCTTTCATTTTCTCAGATGATGAGAAACATTAAAATAAAGTAAATACAGATTAAAATCAAATTCAATTCTGATTTAGCCTCCCCCTTTAATAGTTTGTGGTTAATATATGTATATAATATGATCTTTCAAATATATATGATCTTTTAAATATTTTCATTTTAGACTCATTATACTTTTACCCCAAAATAATCAAATTCAAACTAAAAGGAGTTGAGTTTTTGCCACAAACTCAAAATTGTTAAGCCCTATATCATTGCAACCTGATGAAGTAAACCTTTGATATTTCAAACAAAGATTACTTAACATAATTCATAGTTTGAAATATCTATGGTTAATTTCATTAGAATGTAAAGATATTGGGATTAGAACATTTGGATTTGTTACAAGAACTCAGTTCCTTTGTTCAGTAAAATCATGATTATCTGTTTTTTTCTAATTAATAAAGTTCTGCGCTCATAAATGCATTTGTTCGTTATGGCTGGCCGAAGGGCTGGACCAAATTGACTAATTTTGTTTGAGGAAACCCATCGATTTTTGTTTTTAAACCTTGGCAACATCGTTCACTTCAGCTAGTTTAATTAATTAATTAATTTAATTTATTAATTTTCACTTTTGTGTTTATAACAAAATGTTTTACTAAATTAGCAGAAGATGAGCGTAGAATTAAATAGATTAATTCCTTAAAAAAAAGATATTTTCCGATCGAAAAGTAAATTATAGGCAGGTTGAATTTTACATAATCTAACTAAAGCTCTTAAACTGTTTGATGTTATGTTTCAAGTTTCCTAGAAGAAAAAAAAATAAAAAATTTCTCTATTGCATTTTAAGTTTCATATTTATGTTTGAATTAGTGAATATATCTATTATTGAACCAAAATAAATATTATTAGTAAAATTTTATTCTTGTGCTTTTACTCTTTTTTAGTTTTTAAACAACACTTTATTTCGTACTGCATACTGTTGTGTACTTTGTACACTGTACAGTGTACAAGGATCTTTCGGGATAAAATTATTTTATACAATATGAAGACGACTTTTAAGATTGGTGTCTTTAAATTCTTATATGGCTTTAAATCAGTTTTGTTTTAATTTTTAACATCTAGAGATTACAATAAATTGGGATGCGTAGTTCAGGGGCCGAATTTAATGATTTTGAGCTAGAACGCTGAACTACCTACCACCGATTCAACTATCAGTAGTGCTGATGTGGACAAATCCTGAACCACCGATTCAAGATAAACATGGTTCAACTTTGTCTCTATAGACCTAACTCAAATTCATTAAATCCATGGTCCTTTGATGGTTATGCAAATATATCTCAATATGAATACCTATACTATTGACTGCAAAACGGATGAGAATATCGATATTGAAGTTTTTTTTTCTGTTAATTTTTTTATTTCTACAAAATATTAATTTCAGGAGTTGTTTGCACAAGTCTGGTGACATCTTCTCCCTCTCCTGATACTAGAACAAGTAATTTCTAAATATTTTGAAAACAAATTAGTTAAAAAATTAGATAGACATGGTAAACTTTAAATAGCCTTCTTCATCTATCCACCTTTTAACAGGGTGTCCAAAAATTATTAAATCATTTAGAAATAATCTGAATTTGGACACCCTATTCATGTACAGTTATATTTAGATTTAAGGAAGTGTGCTTTTAAAAAAATTTCCACTTAATATCTAAATATTTATCTTTGGTTTAAAATAAATTGCAATCAAGTACCGTACAACACCCATGTACAGTAATTGCGGTTTAGTACAGTGCAGTGCAATGAAGTTTGCTTTGTTTACATGCATGAATATATATATATTATAGCTTTAAATAGTAAAAAACTTCAATTTATAATTTATATGTCTTCTTTCACTAAAACTCTGACAATAGAAGACCAAAGAGGAAATTCACTAGAAAAAATATGAACATTTTTTCGAAGAAAGGAACTCAGCATTCGACAACATCTATTCAGCAATCTCTTCATTTATAAGGTATATTTATTATCTTAAAGGGACTGTCCATGTAATTTTAAGTGACACTACTTTTTTATTGTTCATGTCAGATATGCAACCGTAGCTTTTAAATATTTGTTTGAACCTAGGACCAGAAGATACTTTTTGTTTTCCAGCGAAACATAATCTTAAATTGCGGGTTTTTAATAAAAGAGACTTGACGATTTATGCAACAGAGAAAGGAAATAAAATTGACAGCATTTAATTGTTTTCAAGAGAGAAAAGCGTAAAAAGAATTATAATTATTTTATATATTAGTATTTTTTAATCACTTACAAATGAAGTTTTTGTTTGTGAACAATAAATAAAAAATCATTTAATTTTCAGTCCTGCACAATCCTTCTCTTCAGTCCTATTACCGGGCTCCCAGCCGGAAACGGAAAGACGCCATGTTGTTGAAGAAAATCCAGGATTTTTTGACAGATTTTCCGGGAAAAAATCGCGAGAGAAAATCCAGCGAAAAAATGATCAGTTCAGACCGCCCCAGTTTGGTTCCATACAAGACAAATTGGAGTTTAATGAACCAGAATATGAACAAATTACTCAGGTAAATATTATTTTTTTCAATATTTTTCGGAGAAAACAAACTTAAGTTTAAAATAAGTTTGAAAGACAATTTAAAATATGGTGAATTATTAATTTTGTTCAATCTTTAATTGAATAAGGTTTCTTAAAACTGTGCAAGACCAAGGGCAATACTTTGTAAAAAAATAAATTGATCTTTTGAATAGAGCTAATATTCAAATCCCAAACTCTAGACATTTCACAGCAGTAACCTTCAATTTAATGCGTTTAACTCCTCAATCCGTGAAACACAAATTAATATAAAAATATTTTCTTGAAATTGATTATTATCTACTCCTCTGATCTTCTACCTGGAGTCTTCTTAATAATCAAAGAATAAAACTCATTATTAAAATTCCATTACTTGGAAAGTTAACAAACAATAACTTTTATTAAAACTTTAATTAAAGAAACAGAACATTCAGTTAGTAAACCACAGTTCGTCAATTTTTATCAAATAAAGAAATTTTTAGGATATTATTTTTTTTCATTTAAAGGGACTGGGTGCGTAATTTCATTTGTGGAGTGGTGTGTTGAATTTACAACAGTACCCTTTTTAAACCTTTGGTTGATCAAGGATCCTTATTTATCTACAGAAACGCGAGTAATTGAATTTAACAGGAAACTTTAATGTTTAGATTCTAGAAGTTGTAGAATTTTTTTCTTCAAAAATACATCCATATTTTTGAAAACTGAAAACCGCGATGCAGTTAGAATATTCTGGATTTCCGAGAAATCATGTACAACGTCAGTTGTATTGCATTCACAGTGTACATCACCGTACACTTCAATTTAAAGGCAATTTAAACACCGTCTTAAAGATAAAAAAACGTACATCTCTTCCTTCGTTGATCAGTCAACAGTTTAAAAGGTACTGTTGTGAATCGGACATATACCATTTTATCAATGAAGGTTCACATCAAATTACGCTTACTGTCCTTTTCTAATCATTTTCTAATATCAGGCTAGTTTGGGTCCGTTTAAAAGAAGTCCTCAGTTAAATTTGCCAGGTATAGAAATTAAAGATTTTTTTGCAGTATCAGCTTTTCAGCTATCATACATTTAAAAATCTTAACCCTAATATCAACAGAGCTGAAAACTTTAGAATGGGATATCCTTAATCCCGATCGGTTAATTAATCTGGAGATTAATAACATGAGGAGAACAAGCCATACTTAATCTGGAGATTGAAAAAAAGAATGGATCAAGCATTAATCCCGATATCCACCATTCTAAAGTTTCCAGCTTAGATTGCATTATTTTATGCCAAAAATACATTATTAAAAAGTAAATTAGTTTTCAATTCTCATAGATTAATTATAAAATAATTGCAGTAATCCTTTTAATTTTAGAATTGACTAAATTTTTTCTAGAAAAGTCAACAACTCATCAAATAATCAATTTAAATAATGTATTCAAGACAGAAGACTCAATTTAAGCTTGGGATCGTTATGTTTGAAGTCGTCTTTGCAGTCTCACTCTTTGTGGGTAACCCTGTAGAATTTGAATAATTTCCACTGTTTAGGATACTCATATCCTGAACCTGATAACAAACTCTTCCTACCTGGGGAGGATTCAAGGGAAATCAGTCTTTGAAAGTTTCTTAAAAATGTTTTATTTTCACCTCTCAAAATTCTAAACCGAACTTCTGATTTAAAAGGGCCATTTATCATACTTGCTGGATGATTTATTTCTTTATAATGAAGTTGAGCGTATGTTTACATATCTGTACACGATATACTGCATAAAGTACGCTGCTTTAAATTTTGTGAAGAAAAGCAAGATGATCAGTTTATGTCCAAGCTTCCAAAATAACAGTTATTAAATATTTTTAAAGCATTTCGTTAAAACAAGTAGTAAGAATGATAATTGTAAATTCTCAATTCTCACTTTAAATTATTTTCTACATTTTTTTATTTCATCACAAGGCTACCAGTATTATGTTTGTACAAGTTTTGTCAAAAAGCTATATTTTTCTTTTATTTAGCTAAATTTCAAAGCCTTGGTTTAGAAGTTCAATGGAAGTAATTCTCCCATCAGATCTTAGATCAGAAAAGCTTCGGAGCCCGAAAAAAACTCAAAAGATGAAAGGAAAACTGGTTTTCCGACAGGATGACAAGGTTCGGGGTTTTAAACAAAAATTTAAATTTTATCAAAAAAGAAAATTGTTGCTATAAATTTGAGTCCTTTGTATGAAAAACATTGTCTAAGATGAAAAATGAAAAGTACAGAAAAATTGAAACTCTAAAATCTTTCTAGGAATCAAAAATAAAGGCATGTAAATAGCCGGAACACATGAAATGCTTAAAAACCTTAGATTGATGCTTATTTAAAAAAAAAACATTATTTGTGATTTGACTGCTTTAAACATTTTATTGAAGTTGAATATTTCTGAAAATTTGCATAAAGTGTAAATTTCTAATAATTACCCAGGAGATGACTGGTGTACAAGCGCTCGAGGCGCTGAATAGGTTTCTAGAGTCAGACCAGGGCGCAGAACTGTTAGAGGCTGCCGCGCGACAATCTGTGCGCAAGAGCGAAGACGACTTTAGGCCTTTTGATTGTTTATTGATTGATTGATTGACTGATAAATCGATTGACCATTTTTTCTTTTGCACTAGATTTAAAATATAATCTTGAAAAAAATTTAATTTTTCAATGATTATGCTTATCATGCAATGCACTATTTTAGATTGTTAAAAGGTGGATATCAGCTAGTATCCATTTATCTCAAAATCAATTAATCAATAAAATCTTGATTTACCAACAGTGAATCTGCCACAGCTAGATCTTTATCTGTTTCATCATCAAGTGCTCAAAGGTTTTCAAATTATTACAGTTAATAATTTAAAATTCTATCTTTCCAATTTTTTTTTTCAGAACTGTTACGGCTTCTCCAATAACCTTCTCTTCAACTGTTGGATCCATTCGTTTGATCCAACCAATCCAATTTGTTTCTACTCCCAGACCCTCTCCTAATCCTCAATCCAATTCCTTCAGATCTGATCCTAGACCTAAGACCAATTCCTTTAACTCTATCCTTTCCTCTCGCAATCCTAGTAGTCCTAAACCACGGGAAGTTTCACCAACATTTTACAACCAAATTATTCAATCAATCAATATAAAAAATTGATTTATTGATCGAAAGCATATACCTGAGTCAAAAAGACATTTTAAAGGTACATGCAATTACAGGAAATGTTTGTGAAACTTCCAGCTTTTTAGATTTCCTAAACAGCAATCTCCAGCACTTACTTTCGTTGACAATGGCCTTGTTGCTGTTTTAGGCCGCCAGGTGAAGGGGAACCCAGTCGAAGGGTTCCCTAATGGACTCCCTGAGTTGACCCCTCTTGGAGTTCGGATAACTCTGGAGAATATGTTTGGTAAGTTGATGTTAATAAGTATTTTTCGGATCAAGTTCTTAATCGCTTCACACAGTGGTAAGCGATTATATCAATACAATTATTTGAGTTTTGATTGTTAACTAACTTTTTTCAAATTACAAGTTTACAAGTAATCAAAGATGCAGCCTCTCTTGACTTCAATGTTTTTGTGTATCCATGCGGTTTAACAGCTAGCTTGATATTAATAAAAATTGAAATCGAAAGTAAGATTCATTGTATTGATGTAATCGCCTACCACTGTAGCAATATTTTCAGCGATGGATACCAAGTTTAATAGTTTATAGATGAAGCAAGCTTTATACAAAACTTACCATTTCAGATATTAAAATGATAGAAACTGGGATTAGTTTAAATGATGCAAAGTAGATTTTTTTTTTATCTGAGCAGGAGCTGGACATTATTTGTTCAAAACGAGATTTATTGAGTTCAAGTTGTTCTTCTTAATACGTCAGTATATTTTCGGATAGTACGACATTCGGACAATCCTGTTTCAGAAGCCATCTTCACCTGATTTTAACACATCCTACATATAATTTATTATCTCTAATTGTCCAAAGTTCTTAAATTGAACCATTTATGGATCAAGAATCTTAATATTCAACTAATGAGAAATCACCATACCAGTTAATGGACATTTCATAATTTACAAACGTAGCAAGTTAAACTCATAAATCCTGTGTTTATCGATTAATTACGTTTGTTTAGGACCTAACGGAGAGATGGTCATGAACCCTATCCCTGGTGTTGCCGGAGTAGATTATCCAACATTTAACTCTGTTCCTGATACTCAGTTCTCTTGTTCAGCTCAGGAATATCCTGGAATATTCGCAGATACATTCGCAGATTGTCAGGTAAAAGATCAGGGAGGATGGGGAGGCAGCTTAAAAGATCAGGGAGGTGTGTGGCAGGTTAAATGATCAGGAAGGGTGGGGGTGGGGGGTGACAGGTAAAAAGATTAAGGAGGGTGGGATGACAGATAAAAATTTAGGGAGAGCGTGTGATAGCTCAAAAGTTCAGGAAGGATTGGGTGGCAGATCTAAAAGTTTTGAAAATAATCCTGCATTGGGATTTGGGGTTCGGAGTAAAGTGATAAGAAATAATCAAACATTTTGGGAAAAGTCCTTCTTTCAATAAATACATTTAAATTACCTTCTTCAAGGTTTGCTCTGATAATTTTTCACAATTTTAGTCCATGACACTAAAGTCGACATATTTTCTTCTCATAACTGACCTGGCCTTTAAATACAATTTCTATAACATTGTTTTTAGAGAAGGTCATTGTTTGAAATTAATCAAAGAGAAACCAAAGAATGTCCTGAACAATGCTTCCATTGAAACTTGTACTTTAAGAAAAATACAAATTCATGTTTTTTTTTATTTTACAAACTTTCATAACCTTATGAGACTTGCACATTTTTTTGTTCAGGCATTCTACATGTGTCAACCCAATGGCGAATCAACGGCCTTCCTTTGTCCCAATGGAACCATGTTCAATCAGCAATATTTTGTCTGTGATTGGTGGTACAATCTAGACTGCGCCGAGCAGCCCAACTTTTATAATTACAATCAGCTGATTTATGATTCACCAGAAAATGAGGGAAAGAAGTGTACATCTCTTTTCTGCAAAGACGACTAAACTGGTAAATGAATTAAAACTCTCATTGTTATTTTAAATGATTATGGGCTTTTAATGAAAGATATGTATGCTCAATTTGGAACGCAGTCTCACAAACCATGATCTGAGTAACAATGAAGATTGAAGAAGATAATACAGCTTTTCAATCTTGTAACTCTTAAAATATGGAGTACCTTATTGCATTTTTTCCATGAAAAACTTTTTAAAAACAAATAATTTTTTTTGGATTTACAGTACTGATGTCTACGGCAAATTTCATTTTAAAAAATATTTTTATTTGTATTTTAGGTCTGGAATGAGAAAACAAGTATCCCCTAGTTCAAGAGTTCATAAAAAATGACATGTTTTGAGCTTGAAATAAATGCCCTTTAATTTTTTGTAAAGTTTATCAAAATTGCCCTTTGTACGAGTGAACCATAAAAATTGGCTCAATCATGATTCTAGTCAATATATGTATTTTTGATCATTATAGTTCAAATAAATAAAATAAAAAATATGTTAAATCAATTATTTTAGAAAGAGGTTAGAACTTTATAGTCAATGTTTATTTTTAAATTTTCAATTATTTTGAAATTAATTTTTTGTTAAAACATAATAAAGGGTGTAATACATTACTCAAAAAATGTTTTAGATGCGTCAAAAAATTGTGAATTAATATTTTTAGTTATTTCATCCCAGACTATATATTGACATCTTTTATCCGGTTTGGTATTGATGAGACCAGGTTCTCAAGGGTCTCCAGGCTGATGTTTCTCCAGGATGTCAAGGGTCTCCGGGCTGATGTTTCTCCAGGTTGTCAAGGGTCTCCAGGCTGATGTTTCTCCAGGATGAGACCAGGTTGTCAAGGGTCTCCAGGCTGATGTTTCTCCAGGATGAGACCAGGTTGTCAAGGGTCTCCAGGCTGATGTTTCTCCAGGATGTCTTCAGTAGCTTTTCTGATTCAGCAATATTTGGAGGCTGATTCTTTACCGACTTCATCTCCTCCTCCAGTATAATTCTTTTCCGACTTCATCTCCTCCTCCAGTATAATTCACAGATTCTTTACCGACTTCATCTCCTCCTCCAGTATAATTCACAGATTTTCGATTGGATCTTGAGGTCCGGAGAGTTAGGAGGCCATTCCTACTTACCCTACATGTTAACCTAGTGCAAGGAAAGTTAATTGCGGTCGCGTATACTCTGCGTACATTGAAACCAGTTCTCTCTAGGTGGCCTTTGTAAACAAGAATAGATGCATCAGTGTTCGTTTAGTATCCGAGGAGGTTAAAAGCATTTAATTTTGATAATTTTGAAAATTCACATAATAATATTTCATAGATTATTTTTGTGAAAATGGATTCCATGTCAGGCTGTGACATCCATCTTGTGTTTACTTTTCCGCCCAAAGACAGTGCACTGCAGTACAAAAAATGTGTACACCTCTGAAATAACTTTCCTTGCATTAGTTCCTTGACCTAGTGGTCCTGGAGCGACTGGAGGCTTGTAGCAGCATTATGACATCGAGCTCCATCCTGCATAAACGTCATTTCAGACAGAAAACTAATTCATCAATTATTTGTTGATGACACTTTTTTCACCAAATTAGAGCCCAAAAATAATAGTCTTGAGAGTTATGTTCAGTTTAAAAATAAATGTTTATATGGTTAATGATTAATTAAAAATATTTTTTAACAGAAATTTATCTTTTTCTTTTTGTACCTAATGAATTTATCAACCCGATATTTCATAAGTAAAACAAAGAACCACTGTACTGTGTACTGCAGAGAACATTACACAAAGCATTTTAATCTCCTCAAAGATGAAAAAAATCTTTGTCAGAGGATTTGGGGCAAATCGCGGTTTGGTTTATTCCTTGCATTATTGAGTATAAAGTCAAAACTAAATACCGCTGGTCAAAAAAGGGGAGGGGTGTTGCAGCCCCTGTGTCTTGGTTTTAAAGGGCCCGTAGCCTCGAGATTGTTGGTTGAGGCTGCGTGGGAGAAAAGAGGTTGGGATCCTGAATTGGCCGTGTATTTTAAAACCTCCGTTGTTATTCTTCAGTACACGGAGAACTAGGAAGCCAGGAAATATAGTTCAGGGAGATAGGAATAAAATACATGTTTTCTAATCCATATAATCTTTACAACATGATGTCTTTAATATTTTTTATATTTTAAATTATGGTATTTCAATAGATCTTATAGCATACGCTATATAACGTTCCTAATATATTCAAAATTATTTTTCACCACTTTTTATTTTTTTGTGCCTAAAATTTGAAGAAAACAAAAATTGGAAATTGTTTTCCATAACATCGATAATCCCGGTGGTTTACTAACCTTGTCCATATATAATATGAAAACAGAAAATCTGCGAGTTCTAAAAATGTTATTGAGGAATGAATTGAAAATGGTGCACACGGAAACGCCTCATCATTGAAACAGATCAAAAATTGTTTTTGAGGAATTTCCGTTTTTTGGAAATTCGAAGAAATCCCTCAAAAGTTCAGAATTGTTGTGGGATTTCCGAATATTTTGTATCCGTTTCACAATATTTATATGTTGAATGGTGTCTTCTTTTTTTTGATGAATTTCCTCATATTTTAATTTGAGGAAACTTATAAAAAATATGAGGAAACAGATCAATTTAAAAGTACCAAAAATATTTGGAATCCCCTCAAAAATATTGGGATATCCCTCGAATATATTTTATTAACATAAAGCGGAAATGGATATACAATTTTGGTGAATCGATCAAAAAAAAGAGGAAACTCCACAAAAACTGAATTTAGAGGGATTTTCGAAAAATTTGAAAAAATCGCGGAAATGCATCAAAAAATGATTGGTTTCCGTTTATTTTTGATCCGTTTCCGTGTTGTTGAGGCGTTTCCATGTCACCGCATATAAGCAGTATTAAAAATGCAGAATTATTAAATATAATTAGTGATTATTTATTAAATAATTTCTAATTCCAATTTCTTTTCTTCGCCCTTCTTTGTAAATAATATAAATAAAGAAAATGGACATAAGTATCTAAAAACCTTTAATTTTTTTGTCCTACACCCAAAATACTATCTAAAACCAAATATCAAATTCTCTGTTTCGTTAGTTGTTTAACCAACACAAACAATCTACAGTGGTAGGCGATTTCATCAATATAATGAAGACAACTTTCGAGATTGATTTTGATTTACATAAAGCTTTTAAACAGCATGGATACACAAAAACATGGAAACAGAGAGAAAAAGCTTCTCTTTAGTTGGTTGTAAACATAAATAAATAAATAAAACAGTCACCCATCAGTCCAAAGAGAGGTTAGGGTAAAGCCCACGTCAGTAGCTCTAGTAGCAGGGTGTCTTTGGCGGTTGGCCACACAATTAAAACTTAAATAAAAAAGCTGTTTTTATTATATTGCTATAATCGCCTATCACCATATTATAATCTGTTTTTGTTAAATTTAAATAAAATTCGAGCTGATTGTCCCAAATTTTTAGCTAATTTTTTGTACAATTACTTCTAAGCCTCCTGTAGGTAATATTTGATAATGGTAATGTTTGATTCTAAATTCTACCCTTATTTACTCTTGTTAGAACCAAACCTTTCAAGTTCTCCATCTCCTTAGTTTCCTTCACAGAGTACAGATATAAACAGAGAGGAGTTAATTTCAAAAAAGTTTTTTTGATCTACAAAGGTGCTTGCCTGATTCACAACAGAAGCTTTTGATTGATAGATTATCATTTTCTCTAATTCTAGAAAATGTGGTGTTTGATTTAACAGTATAAGGACTTCATCTGATTAAAAATGTAAAATATATCGTTGGTTTTTTATTTTGAAAAGTGTTTTTATCTAACATTTTCTTCATACACAAACTCTAATTGAAAATAATTGATTGTTCAAGAGATCTTATGCAATCTGATCATCAAAGCTTTAAATCGTTGTGAATTGGATTTACCATCCTATAAATGGGATGTAACCTCGCCTGAGCTTTCAGTGCGGTTTTGAAGTTATTTGCATTGCATATAGTAGCATTTAGTTGAGAGTTGTTAACTATTGAACCGGATTGTATACAGTAGTGTTTAGTTGAGAGTTGTTAACTATTGAACCAGATTGCATATAGTAGCGTTTAGTTGAGAGTTGTTAACTATTGAACCGTATTGTCCAGACAACATACACATGTATTCTGCACAATTTATAGAAATTTATGAACTTTTGCCTTTTTTATGAAATCTTACTTCCACTCTATATAATATTTCTCTGTGGTTTCCTCTTAAACTGGATGCACTAGATTATTATGCATAATTTATCGGTATAAATCTTCTCCAAGAATTTAGTTAAACACACTGTAAAGCCTTGAAAATGATGTATTCCTCCCGAAAAATTAAAATAAATTTCACGTTAATAATAAAATTCAACGCTATACATTTTTGCAAATCTACCAATGAAAATGAATAAAAATTCTCGAAATTCTAAATTGCTGCTTTCCTTTTTAATGTTGCGCGCAAATAATTAAATGTATAAATGATATAATTATTTTAAGAAATAATGGCGATCGTTTCGCTATTCGTTTTCTAAAAGTTCAAAACGAGTGGGTCGTTTTCAAAAAAGATCGTTTCGTTTTCGGCAAAAAACGATCGTTTTTAAAAACGACCCACTCGTTTTGAACTTTCAGAAAACGAATAACGATCGTTTTTTTAAAAACGATTTGTGACCGTTTTTTATACGATTGTTTTTTTTAAAACGATCGCTTTTTTAAAAACTCGTTTTTGGAAAAAAAAATTTATTGACAATTATGATAACGATTCATTGTTGTTAATGAAACGACGAGTTTTAAAAACGACCATTTTNTAAGACGGGCTTTTATACTAAATGCACAGAGCGTGAATGACTACTTTTTCCTGTAACAAACTAAACCCACTTTTTTTACCTACTTTCAGATTTTGATAATTTTTAGCTTTTTGGAAAGCATATGACATATGGAAACGGATTGCAAAGAAATTATTGCAAAGTATTTGCATACAACCCGTCAAAAGAAATTTGCCCTTTTTCAGTTTTTCTTAATTACTCACATGGTTACTAAAAATTTGCAATTTTTTTCCATATTTTAAATGGCATGGTCAAGGACTTTTCAAAATTGTATATTTTATCATGTTTTAGACATTTTTTGTTTCACTGTATTATAACTAGCTAGATTTTGCAAAAAAATCAATTTTTGCAAATTCGCTTATTTTGTTTGCAGATTCTAAAAGTAGAGCATCCAATGATGTATCATTTGTCATATTTGTGGAGGGTCAAATGACTCCTCCCCCCAGCGTATCCTAGTTCTCAAGTACCCCAGCAGGGATAGGGTTAAGTTAGATGACGTTAGTTTTCGTGTAATAGTTGGCGCATTTTCATCTCAAAAGATGATAAAATTGTGTACATCAACATTTTCGGGAAATTAAAAATTATACTTAACCACGGGTTCCCTCGGCCAATTTTTCTTAAAAAAAACTCGATCGGGAAATCTTGGAAAAGTAAGATTCCATTAACTTCCCTGTAAAATAGCTGTAAATATTATAACGCCCCCCCTCCTCATAAGGATGTCAAATGACATCTGGATGTATATACTGTTGAAATTCGCACTGTCAGAGAGCAAATTTCTATTTCCATGTTAAATTCCTTTCTAAATTAATATGGCTCTAATATAGACTTGAAAAGAACTCAGTAGTAAAAAGCCATAATTGAGTGGAATAGTGAAGCATGGTTGCACACAAACTATATTTACATGTAGCAAATACCTACTCCATAACAATTTACTCAAGGCGTATCTATCCAGATTTATCAGTTAACACAATCAAACAGGACCGGCTCTAAATGCCACGCATGGACATAAGCGTCCAATATCATAGGACACATCTCAGACTCTATATTCAACCAGGATCAGCTCTAAATGCCACACAGGGACACAAGCAACCAATAATATGGGACTAACTCTCAGGCTTGTACACCAGCCGTATCTCAACTTGTATAATTCAACGAGGACCTATGCTATCTTTTAAGCTAAGTTCAATTTAATACCAAATCGCTCAATCTCATGAGCGATATATGTCAATCAGAAAGCTAGCTCGAATTCCTGCAATGTTATTGATATTACATGATTGCTTAATTAAAGTAAATACTAAATCGCACAATCTCATGAGCTATCGATGTCAATCAGACACTAGCTCGAATTCCTACGATGTTATTGATATCACATGATTAAGACCATCATATTCTATATTTACTGCACAGTTAAACTTTAAGGTATGTAATTAAAGCATTAAAGAGAATAGATATAACTGCAGTTAATCTATCTCTGTCCATATTGTATAGCGTAATTTAAGTTTGTCACATGATTTAAGCTAATTATGTTTAGTATTCAATTGAAACGCAGAAGATTTCACTCCTTTCTCCAGCATCGATCTTACCCTAGCTGCCCTTGAAACCGCCCTTTAAACAGGAACAACTTGATATCTCCAAGATAAGAAAGGGGAATACCGTTGCCAACCTAACCTGTTATATTACTAAGGATGCAAACATACTAGGGGTTCAATATCCTCATGGACTGAGTCTATATACAAGTTGAAGAAACCCATAGTTGGGTTCACACTAATTATGGATAGAATATTTCTATCCATCCATTAACTATACCTGAGCTGAGCTTAGAAAGATTAAATTAAATCTTCAGGTATCTAGTTAAATAAATTTAGATATTTAATTTAGTAAAAAGACCAAACTTATGCACACTACTACACATTCATTACTTTAAAGAAAGTTAATATTCAAAAATTTAAATTTAACCCATATTCCTATTCTAAATTAATTCGTTGGAGCCAAACTAATTTCTTAATTGCAAGCTAGGGGCAATAAAATAATAAACGTGTCCGAGAGGGGGGAGGCGTCTTTCTCGGATGGGGCGGGTAAAGCCTCATTTTTCAAGAGGTAGGAGCTAATCATAAAGAATTTGACAAATGTGCAACAAATTTGTAAAAATTTAAATATTCTTTTTTCATAGTTTTTTGTAAATAACTTGCCAAAAACTTTGAAAAAAAAACAGTATAAATATTTATNTGGGGGCAGATTCTATTACCTCCACCAGTTAGTGCTCAAGAAAGTGACCCCTCCATACAAAGATGGCAATACCCGATTTTAAATGCACCCTAAAAAGCGTTGTCTGATAGAAAGTTTCAATTAAATTTCCCTATTTATAATTTAAAATCTATTAAATTTCTACTGAAGGAAAACATTGAGGAATTATCAGAATTAAACACCTATAAACCTAGAAAAACGACAATATCTTCCACATTATTGATCGATACAGGTTTCGAAAGGTGATTTGGGCATTGCATATATAGAGGGTTACTTAAACTTACGCTTACTATCCCTTGAAGATTTTTGTAAAAATTGTGTACAATTAATTAATAAAAAATGGTTGATCATCTAATTTAACACTTAAATGATTCAAATTAAACTTAAACTCGAATTAGTCTTTCCAAGAAGAAATCTTAAACTAAAACTTAAGAAATCTAAAACTTTAATGAGAGAAGTTAAACTAATGTTTCAATATTAAAAAGCTAATTACGTAACTTAAGTACAAAATTGAAACCATTATACCGCTTGAATTGCGGAAATGCTTCAGTTTCAGTAGAAGTAAATATTTCCATCTACTGTTTAGCGCCGATCAAAAGATTTATCTCTAATGGGATGACAAGTATAGATAGAAAGATAGAGATGTTACCGCCATGCAATTACAATTGGTTCAGAATAGACAACAAACATATGACTGAACCCTGATTGGATCAGGCATTAATGGACTCGGAATACAAGTGTGGAAAAGGAATAGTCCAATTAAATATATAACCTATCAATTGTTCAGTGCCAATTTCACTTATTAAGTTGAGTTTAAAGCTTAAGGTAAAAAGTTTAAAAACAACATCAAAAATCAAAAATATTAAAATCCATATGTTTGTTTAATATCGTCTTCGCACTGAACAGTTTTTGGTTCCCACTGTATTCTTGCACGATGATCTAAATGTATTGGCTTAATTTGTACACGAACTTGGCTCTGTTTAGTTACGCGTGATTGGCAAGCGAATACAAAATAAACTTAGAAAGCTTAACATTCCTAGACGTTTATAATTAAGAAGAATTTACGTATATATTGTCAGTTTTCAGATTAGTGTATTTTTAGTCATGAATAGTGTCTGTAGTTAAAACAATGATTGTGTAACAAAAATAAGGTAATTAAAGTTAAATACATATTAGATACACATATTGCTTTTATTTTATTCTAAAAAACAACTTTTAATATTGTTTTTTACGTCAAAAGTAGGATATTTTTTGTTAAAAAACACAATAATTCTACATTTAAAAATGATAGTTCAGAAATGTCTGAATAATTTTCTCCTAGCACGCTTTCTCTTTATGTCTTCAACTATTCAATTTACTTATTTTCTTACAAATCTTATATTGTATTTTTATATCTTATAAAACTGCAGCGTACATACAAATATTTCTTTTATTTTATTTAAAAAAAGGTTCAACCTTTTATTTGGCTTTTTTAACGTCGGAAGTACAGGGTGTCCCAAAAAAGATGGGAATTTAGTGACGAATTCGATATCGTCTTTTTAAATAATTCTTTGATTTAGTATAGTGATACCTATTGAGAAAGCTGTAATCTGTAAGAGTTTCGTCTGCTATGTTTACAATTTGTTTGTTTATGTTTTGACTGCATACGGTTGTACTTAGTAAAACAAGGAAATTGAAGTATACATTATAGTATTGCTGTACTGCTGAAAATTGCAGTATAGTATCAGAGTAAACTTGTCCGTCTTCACTATTCATCTTGCGGAGACATTATAGACACATCTTTACAGTCGTTTACCGTTTTCATAAAATAAACTCTAGCAGACATAATAATATTATTTCTTTTGAAATTAGGTATTACAATCCTAATTTATAACAAAAACGATATCGAATTCGTCACTGAATTCCAATGTTTTTTGGGACACCCTGTAGGATATTTGTTGCTAAAAAACACAATGATGTTGCATATAAAATTGAGATTTCAGATTCGTCTGAATAATTTCCTTTTTACATTTTTTCTTAATTTCTACAATTATACAGATTAATTTTTTTCATACAAATCTTATTTTAAATTATGCTGGCTGAAGTGCCCGGCGTTGCCTGTAGAATTTTTTAAATTATTTTTTTGAAAAAAATAGATATTTTTTAGCCTATGTCACCCCCAGGGTACTCAAGGATTCCCTCAAAAAATGTCAGTCCATTCGGCCCAGCCGTTAGGCCAGCTATAGCGGACATATAAGGATAAGCAATAGATTATTATATTGTTTTTTTTATGATTGCAGCTCACATACAACTCACAAACAAATATTTCTTTTTTACTTTTATTCCAAAAAACAACAAGACACATTAACTATATATATATATATAAACTAAAGGTCCTGGTTAAAAGTATACCAATTTTCACCCACTCAATGTAGACTTTTGTTGGGCAATGTATTTTAAGTATTTAAGTATATACAGTTTCTTACAACATTTTTAACGTATTTTAATGAGCTATTGAACTATAGTTCAGATTTCAGAAAAATCTAAAATTTTCTCCTGCACAAAGGATTAAATATTATTATTAAATTCCAATCCTTAACAAAAGGAGGACTAAAAAGATGCGATATTTTAAAGAATTAATATTTTTTTCTTTCAATTTAGAATCGAGATTCCAGAAGAAAATAAGAAGTGCAGTAATGTTCCTCAATTCATCTTTTAGGAACATATTAAACCATACTCAACATTCATAATATACATTCTAAACTCTATACAGCGCAAAAATAATCTCTCAGAGCCAAAAATTTAAGAGAACGAGAGGGTCAAGCACCTTATAGTATTTTATCAGCTTATCAATTTGCTTATCAAGCGGCCATATTTTCATTGTAGTTGTAAAACTCAAAATTTTGTGGATTTTCTGATAACATTAATAAATTTTCAGGCAAAATTTTTCATTTTTGAGTGTCCCTGGGTTGGAGCTGTCGCAAAATTTGGGCCCGATCGGTTCAGCCGTTTAGACGTTCATTGAATAGAGACAGAGACAAGCCAAATTTATATATAGATTTCATTAAAATAAACGACCGGGGTTTCTATCCACGATCTTAATTATTGTGTTATACATTAATATAGATTAAAGAGCCCTTTATACTATCTAATTGATAGAGTATCCGAGCCCTAAAATCAGTTTATGCATTGTTGACATATTGTACTCATGTACTGATCATGTACTCATGTACTAATCTGTATTCAAGTTGCAGTTGTAACGAAACATCAATGCGACCAAAATTGATATAGCAAAATTGATATAGCAATGTTTTCCCATTTTCTGTAAATATTCAAACCAGTTTTTTGTAAATAAACACAGATATAAGTTCTGTTAGATGCAAAAACTTTGAAAACAGCCTTATCCAGCAATTTTCTCGGGCCTCCAAGAGAAGTTGAAGTGTTGAAGTGTTGAAGTGTTGAAGTGTTGAAGTGTTGAAGTGTTGAAGTGTTGAAGTGTTGAAGTGTTGAAGTGTTGAAGTTGAAAAATGCACTCGATATTAGTGACTTAAAAATTTGATTCAACCCTAGTCCTGGGTGCTTGCGAGGCAATTTATGTTGCGGCCCTAACTGTTAAAATCAAGCGCCACATTTTCTGGAATTTGACAAAATGATACTCTTGGTCAATTTTTTAGACGTTCTACCATAGGTAGATAGAAAGATATAGTTGTACCTATGGTAACATGAATAAGAAATTGGCCATCTATCTTTATATTTTAGACGTTCTACCATAGGTAGATAGAAAGATATGGTTGTACCTATGGTAACATGAATAAGAAATTGTCCATCTACCTTTATATTTTAGACGTTCTATCATAGGTAGATAGAAAGATATAGTTGTACCTAACATGAATAAGAAATTGTCCATTTATCTTTATATTTTAGACGTTCTACCATAGGTAGATAGAAAGATATGGTAACATGAATAAGAAATTGTCCATCTACATTTATATTTTAATCCAAATATATTAGATTGTCACATTCAAGTATCAGCTTGTTAATAATGTTAATAAACGAACTATGTCAAATATTTTTTTTTTTTTTTTCACTAAATAATCATTATTTTCTTCCCTTTACAAAGCTTTCATGACACATGACACAAAATTGACAAGTCTAGAAATAAATGTTTTACTTATTTTTTTTTGTATTTATGGTGGATTTGCTGTTATTATTATTATTTTTAATTATATTAATTTTTTTGAGAAAAAAATACCTTAATCACGAAGTTATCTTTTTCCCTGAATTGCTTAGATCAGATAACATTTTGTAATTTTTTATTCCATTCATATTTAAACTTAAACTATTTTATCTACAAAAGACCGAATTTCATTAATTTCAGAAATCGCGCTGGCGCTGGTTCAAATTCTGAATCACCGAAAAATGAAAGGTCTGCACCATCAGGTTGTAAAGATATTGGAATTATATCTTATCTGTTAATTTTCTGGATGGTTTAACAATGGTTGTATAAAAGTGATGATGAAAATGACACCAGATTAGGATGGGAAACTCCACGCATGGATCATTTAGGCCTTGGTAAGGTTTTAAAATCTAAAACTCACATCCTTAAAAAAAATCCAAAAATGATTAATATTGGAATAAACATCCTTAGTGATAGTGATACTTCACATTTATTTACTCGAAAATCACTTTAAATTACGTATTTTAAAGTTAAACAGAAAAAAATGTTTATTTTTAAGAAAATATCTAAAATATTCTGCTTATTTATCCAACCTTATTCATTTGATATATAATTCGCCAAGCTATCCAACTTTTTGAATCGACTGTCGACTTTATGTACCGCTTGACAACATTTATGTACTCCTTGACAACTTTTATGTACCGCTTGACAACATTTATGTACTCCTTGACAACTTTTATGTACCGCTTGACAATTTTTATTACTGCTTGACAACTTTTATGTACTGCTTGAAAACTTTTATTCACCGCTTGACAACTTTTATGTACTACTTGACAACTTTTATGTACTGCTTCACAACTTTTATTACCGCTTGACAATTTTTATTACCGCTTAACAACTTTTACTATAGCTTGACAACTTTAATGCACCTCTTGACAACTTTTATGTACTACTTGACAACTCTTATGGAACGCTTGACAACTTTTATGTACTACTTGACAACTTTTATTACTGCTTGACAATTTTTATTACCGCTTAACAACTTCTACTATAGCTTTAAACTTGAATGCACCTCTTGACAACTGTTTTTACCACTTGAAAACTTTTATGTATCGCTTGATAACTTTTATGTAACGCTTGACAATTTTTATGTACTGTAGGTGGCAATTTGCCAATTGTGCAATTTCCAAAAAGTTAGGTTAGGCGCCGTAGGCTGTAATGGGTGCCGAACGCTCCGACTAGAATGGGTTAGGGGGCCGAGCGTTTCAGCTAGAACAGGCTAGGGTCCGAGCGCTATGGCTAGGACAGACCTGGGATTATATACTGCACATAGATATATAAATACATAAATAGTTGAGAAGTTTTATTGCCAAGTTGTTGACAGCTGCAACAACAATTAATTCAGTTTTTATTGCATTTCACAACATTTCTAATTAAAACAACTACAACCTTAAAGGGACTGTAACCGTAATTTGAAAGATGCAAAGATGGCAATGCCCGATTCACAAAAGTAACCTTAACAGCTTGTCACTTTTGTAGAGAAACTTAAACACTTAAAAAAAAAATTCTCAAAATTATAAACATTAATATCCAAATTAATACTTGACGAAGGATACTGTTGTAAATCAGGCATTGCCATTTTTGTATGGAGTGTCACTTCAAATTACGGGTACAGTCCCTTTAAAGTTTAATCCTTTATGTGCACAACAACATGGAAGATATTTTCTTTCCGCTTTCTAGAATAGAACTCTGGCAATTTCCTTCATCGACTCTGCTGCATAAATTCACAAATTCAATTTTCAAGAGAAAACTATCGTTGTGAATTGTGAATTCCCCTCTTTTAATGGAGTGTTACAGACACAGTCCCTTATAGATTCAGCAAATTGAGGCGCATCTTTGGTTAATTAAACATGTTTTAATGAAATTAAAAACTGTATTTTGATCGTATAATTCAATAATTTCATTTTGGATGCAATATATTTATAGATCGTTTCTTTTGGAATAACAATAAATACAAAAATATATTTTAGCTCTGGTTCTTTACGGTATATCTACATTCACTGTGTGCGGAAATCTTCTCATTATAATAACAGTATTTAGGGTAAGTAAAATTAAATTTTCAAGGCTTCAGGGCTCCTCGCGGCTCTTCACATTGAAACATATAATTGATTACATCTGAAAACAAGCAGTTTCGCCAAATTTTCTGTTTAAAATCCACACATTTCCAAGCAAAAATATTAAATTTCGACTTGTCATTCGGGTCGGGTTTTCTCGGTTCTGCCGTTTTGAGTTTTATAATTTATTGTAAACATCATGTAAGATAGTTTACAGTTTCAGATAAATCTCTTTTTTTTAAATATAATATCAATAAACTTTTGAAATTTCAAACTTTATAGATATTGATTTAAATCGTCTAATATAAAAAAAATTAGACAATTACAGTTTGTGATTAGTTACTTGATAAAAATGTAAGTCATCTCGTACAACACGAGATTACCTTTTCTGTTTTGTTTGGATCTAATAAAAGTGAAAACTATTGAATAAACCAAAATTATTGTTACCACATAAATTGAAAATTTTGAAAATCCACCAAAGAAAACTGAAGAATCTGCGAAATCTTAAATTCCATTTCTTTAATCAAGTTCTTATGGAAAAACGTTAGTAGACAAAGGAAATAATGCAAAGTACAAAATAGGACGCCAAGCATCCTAAATTACTAATCTTATATGTTTACCAAATATATTCATTAGATAGTGATCAATTATTCTTATCTTGTTTAAATAATTAATTATTCTGACAATCAATTTGCTCATTAGCAGAATACTGAATTATAATTATCAAGGGAAGAAAGGAGGTAATGATGAATGATATTGGCAAAAAAATCAATGTGTGGAATAATTTTAGTTTTTTTATTTAATTTTATAAACTATGTCAATTAAAAAATTTTGTTTTAGCATAAACCTTTTAAATAAATATGGAAAATTGATATTTTATCACTTTTTTTATAAGACGATTTTTATTGATAAACTTTTTATCACTTTGTATTCCTATTTTACTAGTAATGAGAAATGTACTAAAAAAAGGCGAATGTAACTTGTTATGGTGAAATTATAATAATAATATTGATAATAATAATAATAATAATAATAATAATAATTAATAATAACATACATATATTTATCTAGGATTCTAGTTTACACTCTGCAACAAATTATCTAATTTCATCTTTAGCAGTAGCTGATCTTCTTGTAGGTTAGTTATGTTATGTTATATTAGTTATTATACCTAAAGTAGCAAACCATAAAACTGAAAACCGACACACCAGAAAAGTGGTTCAACTACGTCTTTGCAGTTCAACTACTTCTTAAGATATAGTTGATTGGGTTCTGATTTTAACATTATATCTGTGAATTTCAAAATTTTATTTACTGAAGGGTTATATTTATTTACTGAAGGGTTATATTTATTTACTGAAGGGTTATANCTTCTTGTAGGTTAGTTTCATTAGTTAGTTATTATACCTAAAGTGGAAAACCATAAAACTGACAACAGACACACCAGAAAAGTGGTTCAACTACGTCTTTGCAGTTCAACTACTTCTTAAGATATAGTTGATTGGGTTCTGATTTTAACATTATATCTGTGAATTTCAAAATTTTATTTACTGAAGGGTTATAGTAAATTATTTACTGAAGGGTTATAGTAAATTATCTCAAATTTAGATTTATAGTAAATAATTTACAAAAGAATAATCGATTTTACAATTTACCTGAATTTAAACTAAGAGATTTTTAAAAATAAATTCATATTCTTCCCTATGGAACTAAGGTTATTTGGGTCTGTCTGGGCCGAGCGCTGCGGCTAGGACAGGCAAGGGGGCCGAGCGCTGCGGCCACGGGTTAGGTCAAGTTAAGACACTTTCTTCCCAGTTCTGTTAAAAATCACACATTCTAAAGACCCAAAAAAACGTTCTCTAGGAATATACCGGTTATTTTAAGAGAATATTGTTCTCATGCATCAATTATTGCTTTGAAAAATACACCTCTTGACTGTCTGTTCAGAAAGTTTCACACTGTATTTCTGATAACCATCAGACTATATGACTCTACTGCCTAATAACTGAACTTGACTGTCCGTTCAGAAAGTTTCACACTGTATTTCTGATAACCATCAGACTATATGACTCTACTTACTGCCTAATAACTGAACTTGTTTATACAAAAATATTAAATAGGATGGTTTAACAATGGTTGTNAGAAAGAATGTTTAACTGATAAGACATTTCATAGCTAGATAGAACATTTAAAAATATAAATTTTATAGGTCGATCATTTCATAGACGTCCTTTCTATAAAAATGCATGCCTTTAAAATGTCCTATCTAAGAAGTGTCTTCCTTGAAATGTCCTGTCTATGAAATGTTCTTTCTATGAAATGTCCTTTCTATAAAATGTATTTTCTATGAAATGGCCTTTCTGTGATATTCCATTCTATGAAATGTCCTTGCTATGAAATGTTCTTTCTATGAAATGTCCTTTCTATGACTTTTCCTTTCTATAAAATCTCTTTCTAGGAAATGTCTTTTCTATCAAATGGCCTTTCTATGAAATATGTCCTTTCTATGAAATGTCCTTTTTATGAAATGGCCTTTCTATATAATGGCATTTCTATAAAATGGCATTTCTATAAAATGTCCTTTCTATGAAATGTCTTTTCTATGAAATGGCCTTTCTGTGAAATTTCCTTTCTATGAAATGTTCTTTCTATGAAATGTCCTTTCTATGACTTTTTCTTTCTTTAAAATGTCCTTTCTTTGAAATGTCCTTTCTATGAAATGTCCTTTCTATGAAATGGCCTTTCTATAAAATGCCCTTTCTAAAAACTGTTCTTTCTATAAAATATTCTTTCTATGAAATGTTCTTTCTATCCAATGTCCTTTCTATGAAATGTCCTTTCTATGAAATGTCTTTTCTATAAAATGGCATCTCTATAAAATGCACCTTTCTATGAAATGCCCTTTCTATGAAATCTTCTTTCTATGAAATGTTCTTTCTATGAAATATTCTTTCTATGAAATGTTGTCTTTTTAAATGCTCTTTCTATAAAATGTCCTTTCTATTAAACGTCCTTTCAATGAAATGATCATTTCTATTAAACTTTCTTTCTTTAAAATGTCCTTTCTATAAAATTTGTTTTCTATAAAATGTCCTTTCCATAAAATTTCCTTTCTTTAAAATGTCCTTTCTATGAAATGTCCCTTTTATGAAATGTTCTTTCTATGAAATGTCCTTTCCATAAAATTTCATTCTTATAAAATGTCCTTTCTATGAAATGTCCTCCCTACACCAGTGTGTATCAAGTGTATTAAGCCAACTTTTGATTCAAGTGTGTTAAATTTATATTGTGCATGCAGTAAAAATTCAAACAACGTTTTAGTCTAATTCCGTTCTATGAATAATATCTAAATAGAGATGCTTCATATTCAGGAAATAAATTCATTAATAGTTTCAAACTTTGAATTTTATTTTCACTTTTTTTAGTAGTTTCATTTTGAATTTATGATTTGATCTTATTTGAGATTTTGTCTGTGAGAACTCAATTGTTTGTTTTGATAAAAAAAAAATTTTCATAAGAATTTTCCCTACTAATTCAGCCAAAAAATTCAAAAAAAGAGCAACGTTGATATTGAAACCTGAGTGGAAAAGAATACCATAAAATGTATCACAATTTGTAGAGTTTTAAGTATTTGATGTGATTCCGTAGTTTAGCTATATAAAGCGTGCATACACTTCTCGAAAGCAAAAATGGCAAAGACTTTTTTTTAGTTTTTTTTTTAAAATATGAAAATTGATGATTTTAAATGTTTCAAAGAAGGTATACTTCATTTTTGTCGCTTAGATATTTAAAGATATTTTTTTTTATCAATTTTTAGGTCTTGTTGTAATGCCCTTTGGTGCCACGTCTGAAGGTAACTTTGATTTATCCAACTATTTTATTTTATCAATATAATTTGATGGGGTGGAGCCTGGAAGGAGTGGGGGACAAATAAGTATGCATTAAACTCTTTTTTCTTCAATTTTTAAAAAAGAAGTTAAAAATTAAAAAATTAAAAAAATTTTTTTTAATATTTTTAAGCAAGGTATTCATTTTAAAAATATTTAATTAGGTTTTATTTTTTATTTTTATAATTCATAATAAAATTGCATAATTTAATAATTTAATAGTTTAAACTTTCCAGGTCTCGCAAAATATCCTAACTTTTAACAAATGTATGAAAATTAATTTTTAATTTTCTAAATGAGTTGGCCATAATGATATCTGAAATTAGCTAAAAGCAAATAAAATACTAACTCTTCCGACCCCCATCAGATTCAGAAATCCGAATTTTGGATAAAATACATTTACAGATGATTATCAAAACTTAATTTATAATTTATGAATAAAGAGAGTTTTAAGTAAAATTGTTATGGGATGGATGTTATAGTTAAAATATTAAACTGTTATTTTAGGGCTGAATAAAGCCTGGATGTTTGGGCCTCTAGGCTGTGAAATCTGGCAAAGTTTAGGAAAAATAAAATAAATTAATTTGATCCTTTTATAATACACAGTGCGAAAACCAGAAAATTGCGGAATAGGAGGACGACCTTTAAATACAAGTTATTATTTTATCAAATCCAATGAACATGAGATTGTAAAGATATTTGTACAGTGTTCACAGACCATTTAAATAAAAAAGGAATTTTTAACCTAACCCGTAAAGTTCAGATTTTAAGGCCAATTCTCATTAAAAAAAATATTAGGCCTCAAACTTTAATGGTTAGGATGCAATGAAATATGCTTATTATTACTAATGACATTGGTGGGAGTTCTAGTCACGTGATACGGACATATTTATTATATTATTAATTGTATCGATCCGTTTGTATGATCCGTTTAAACCTACTATTTTTATGCAACATTTTATATATATAGATTTTCGTATCAATTTGACACAGTTTTATATCAATTTCTTGAGACAGGAACATTAGAAAGAACTCTCATGGGTCTCGTTTGATTTGGAACAACATTAAATACATTAAATATTGCTTTGATGTTGTCCCTCTAAGCTCGAATTTGCTTAGCGTGCAGTGTCAGCAACTTCTGTTAAAAATTGCATCCAAGTTTCTCAAACTTTAAACAAACAGTTTAGATATTCAGAAAACTGAAGGAAACTTTTTATTTATTTGTTTGCGCAGATGTTCTTGCATCAACAGCCTCTATTCTAAACCTCTGTGTTATATCCCTGGATAGATACTGGGCTATAACAGATCCTTTGAAGTATCCAGTCAAAATGAGTGACAGGTGATTTATTATAAAGACTGTAGGAGTAATTTTTAAAATACTCTCCACTATGAGTGGGTTGTCTGATTTCCAAATATGATATTTAAGTCTGGAAAATTCATCAAGTACACTTTCTCAATAAAAGTTTAGAAATATAATACAATGTATTCATATATAATACAAGGGTGTACACTGGGGGGAGGGGGGGAAGCTAGGGGGACACTTTTAAAATCTGAAACTGAATTGTGAAGAGCATAAAAAATTAGTTTGCTTTTTTCTGCTAATTTTGTTTAAATTAGAGATAAAGTAGTAATTGCAAGGTAATTGGACTGTATGTGTACCTTTAAAGTATCCAAGAAGCCAAATGTTATACATTTACAGTTCAAATTTTGCATTTTGCACATATTTGGCCCCTCACAAGATTTATTTCTGTGTACACCCTTGATATAATATTATTTCAAAATTTCCATATCTATTATGTATGAAGAACAAGGATGAGTCATCCTTAGTGTAGAACTAAGGTGGGGTTAAGTACAGATTTGGCTGTGACATTTCATAACTGAGAGAGAGAAGTTTTATGACAACAATAACTTAGAGGTTCATCTTGGGCAAGGTTGGAAGTCCAGACTTGAGAAACGTGGTCTATCAGATTCTTCACAATAAGCCAGTTTTTGATCAGTTTTCAAATACCACACTATCATATGCAATTTAAAAGTAGTGTTGTATGAGTATCCCTGTTACTTAACAAGTAAAACTACACCTTTGACCAATAGAAAGGCTTCCTGGTGTTAATGCTATCTATCTATCTTTTTTTCTGTCTTCTGTTTGGTCTAGAATACGCTGTATAATGTCATTTTCCCTAATATTGTAGGAGAGCTGGAATTTTGATCTCCCTTGTGTGGATCTGTTCTTGTATCATCTCCTTCCCAGCCATAGTTTGGTGGAGATCAACTTCAAGTGGTATGCTAGATTTAGAAACAATTAAAGGGATTGTTCAAGTATTTTGGGCAATTTACGAGGTACCAACTTTGATTGCTTTGTTAAAAATAAAAATAAATCAAAATGAAACAATTTTTTTAAAAGAAAAAACGAACAGGAGGTAGCTTTTAAAATTTTAAATGAAACCATAAAGTTGAGTTTGTGCAATCTAACAACTGCTGCACACAATTTATGAAAAATTTAGCAAAAACAAAAGTTTTTTATTCAAAACTTATTTTTTCTGTTTCTTTAGTTTTAAAACCCAAATTGAAACAAATTTTTTTAATTTTTAAAAAATCATGCCCATCCTTAACTTTACATTTATGTTTATTTCTGTATGAGGTTTTAATAATTTTCCAAATAATACCTGTTTTCGTTTTTTTTTGGTGTTCTTACATTGATTTGATAATCTTCTTGGGAAAACATATTCTCAATATTTGAAAGACAACTAATACACTCATATTTCTGTCCATTTTTATATGCACTATATTACATATTTTCACTTACATGGAAAATTACAGAAAAATTAAAAATTAAACTGTTAATATTATTTTTCGCCTGTCATTTCTATTCTCAGTGAAGCTGAGCCAAGGTTGTATTATAAGGTTGCTTACTCTCTATGCGCTCCAATGAATGGAAAATGTTGCAGTCCCCTTATCATGGATAGATGAAAATTTATATGACGTTACTCTAGCCTCTATAACCAGTGCCATTCTTTTAGGTTTTATCTGTTTATCTCAGGGGAAAACATTTTCCTTACATTGGAGGGAATAGAGATAAAGCAACCTTATGGTGGTACCTCTAGAAAAAAATCTTAACAGTCCCTTAACTTTAAATCGTGATGACATTTTAAACAACAGTTTTTAGAATCTTGACATGTATAAAAAATCATTGATAGCAATATAACGGCAATTTTTACTACAGAGGTAGGTGTTTATATCAATACAATGAAGACAAATTTTCTAATTAAGTTTCGATTATTAACAAATTTTTTTTTCAAATTGCAAGTTAATAAGTAGTCAAAAAGAAGGTTTTTTAATTGGCAGCTTTTTGTGACTTTTATGATTTAAACGTGTATCCATCCTGTTTAACAGCTTGATTTTAATTTAAATTCAAAAGCCAAAGTCGTCTTCATTGTATTTATATAATCACCTACCACTGTGGTATAAAAGAAACATATTGGAAACAATGAACAAAATACATGTTTTCTAATTAATATTGGTTTATGATTTTTTCATAATTGTTGTTGAGAGGCTTTTAGGAGTTTAACTGTCAGACATGCAATCAAAATACGCGAGTCACTTAAAAATATGTCTACTGCAGTTCCTTTAAATCTAACCAATTATTTGATAATTGCAGGACCCCCTCCACCCTGGACTTGCCAGTTTACCGAGAACATTGGATATCTTATATTCTCTAGTTCTGTATCCTTTTACCTTCCCCTTGGAGTCATGGTCTTTACATATATAAAGATATATCAGGTACAGTCCCTTTAAACTTCTCAAAAAAAGGTTTATTTTATGTGAAGCTATTGGTACGACTTTACAACCTTTGATACTCATCTACTTTTGAGCTTGCACAAAATAATGAGCAAAAAAGAGAAGGAAGTCTTTTTCATTTTTTAAAAGTTCATATAATGGGATAGCTAATAAAAAAAAGGAGTTGTACTCTGATAAAAATATTTTTCATAATGAAGCATTTAAGATGTGAAATTTTCATGCAAAATGTGCAAAGATGTTTTCTACCTGTCGGAGAGCCTTTGTAACATCTTTCATGAGGGTTAAGAACACTAGACAAAAGACTTTAGATGTGCTTTCTAATCCAAAAATTTGGGTATTGTGAATATTAAAAAAGATTAACAATCACTGTAAATGGACAGTAAGTATAATTTCAAGTGACCCTCCATGCAAAGAGGGTAATGCCCGATTGATTACAATACCTTTGAACCCTTTGACTGTTCATCAAGTAAGGAGATCTTTCTGTTCAAACATATCAAACCCCGCTTAATTTCCTCTAAATCACAACTGTCTGAACTCAATCAGCTAATCTGTTCCTTGTCCAACTTGAGAGTAGATCAATTGTTTTATGTTATCAGCCTTTCAAAAATTCTGAAGTAAATTTATATTTTCTCCTAATTTTTAAAAATTAACCGTTGATATTCTAAAAAATACAACAGCTTGCAAACTTAGAGTGAAGCAATTAAAAGCATTTTATTATATTAACATTGATTTATCCAACATTGTTGATCAGTCAAAGGTCAAATGGGTACTGTTGAAGAGGGAACACCCTAGTTTCACCCGTCCATTAGGATTTTTATCCAATAAAACACAAGCGCGATTTTTTGACCAATAGCGATAGTGTGCTATCTATCTATCTTTAAAAAAATCCACCAATAGGAGAAAAATAAAGAAATTTAGCGGCGATATCAAATGGACTGAATTACTACTAATCATACTAGGGTGGGAATGCTCCTCTTAAAATGGAAGGTTGTTTGAAATTAGGATTATTATAGTCCCTTTAAGCTATGAGGCTGAAAATTGAAACAATTTATTTTGTGAAAAATGTTAGAAGCACTTGGTCACTGAAATTGACGGTTTTGTAAACCTTGTAATTTTATTTAATTATGTTGCTGAAGTTGGGCTATGGACTTAAGAAAATTTTAAAAATCACACAAAATTAAAGAAAAACCTTTCCCATTCCAGGTCTCCTCTTTTTCCCCCTTGTCTTTACACCTTTTGTATTTTCCCTTTCCCCTTTACTCCTTTATCTTTTCCCTTTATTGCATTTCTTTACCCTTCTCCTTTCCAAGTTACTGCAAGTTTAATATCAATTGAAAATTTTATAGATTTTTAAAATAACTAAAATTGTTTCCTTACAACAACTAAGATCTTAAATTCATCGTCAATAAAAAGAATTTGAGAACAAAGGATTGTTAAATTTAAAATAACACTCAAATTTCACTGAAAGAGTGGTATGTCTTGTTTTCAAAGCGAATAAACTTTGTCTGACAAAGTATGTATTTGAATTCCATGTTCTTGTTTTTTCAAACTGATTATTTTTATTTGTGATTTCTCTACAAAATTGACATGTTTCTTGCTTCAGAAGATGAAGAACTTAACAGAGTTATCACTTTAAAGGAAAACCTACGCTATCTTTCACATTTTTCATCAGATTAATGTTTCAAGGGTTCTCTTGTTAATCAGGAATACCACTCTTTAGACTAAGGGTACTTCAAATTATATCTATGCAGTCCCTTTCAGGTTTAAAATCTTTATGCCTCATTTGCTATCTCTTAAATGTTAATTCAAAATCTACAGTTACTTTTAGAAAACCATTTTGATGTAGACTTTGTACTTTACTAGGCTGCCCGGGCCTATAGTATGAGCCTAAGAACTGGAACACGACAACAAAGGAAAATAATTTATTACTGTTTATTTCCTTTTACGCCTTTTTACTTACATTACTTGCAACCACTGTTAGAAATAAAAATTGGTTTGTATCCTTAGCATTTAATGTTTTTAAAGAAAAATGTTTTCTTTAAGTCAAAACGTTTAATTATGCTGCATTTTGAAAATTACTGCAGGAGGGTAGGTTATGTCTCATTTTTTATTTTTCTAAACTAACAAATCATTGCCAATAAAAAAAATGAAGGGGCAAAACTAACAAACTGATAGTTTCAACCTTTTTTAAGCAAATACGAAACAATAGTATCTCTTATGCTATTTTCCCTCAATTAAATTTGAGTTTTTCAATTTCTGTTGTGAAGCAAAAATATTTAATGTATTTTATATTTAAGTTACTCCTGCAATTTTACTTAAAAAAGAACCTCAAGAATCTCATTTAAGTCTACAACCCCCCAAATAATTTTTTTTTCTAATCATAATGAATAAATATGTCAAAACATATTAAAATATTGTCAAGAATAAAATTTAGTTTTCTTTGAACAAAAATTGTGTGAAAAGCTTGAAGCAACAGTAATATATTACTACTTAGCTCCAGTACTGGGGGGCTTAATGATGTAACCCTTAGAGTACATCGTGGAAGAGCCCTAGACCCTCCTTCAACAAGTAGTGATCAACTAGAAGTAACATACTCTTCAAGTAGTTGGTCTTTAGGTAGGGAATGGATCAAACTTTCACTGTTTTGAAAAAAGATAGCATGGTTTTAAAAACAACAAAGAAAAAACAAAAACAACCCTTTATTAAGACCATTAACAACAACCCTTTGTTATAAGGATTGTTAACGACAATGGTGAAAAAATTAGTCATTAATTTGGATTTTTCAGAGATGATATGAAATTTTTCTGAAAAATTGAAATTTTCCAAAAATTCATTTACACATTTGAAAATAACATTTAAATTTTCTTAGTTTGTATAAAATTTTCTAAATAACCATTTTTAACTTTTTTTATTTTTGAATTTATAATCTTTAACAGAAAAATTTATTTTGAAAGAAAATAAAAATTTTGTCGAAACCAGTATTTATTGGAACACTCTGCTTCAATTGTAGTGTAGTAAAGTAAGTCAGAAGTGTAGTATAGTGGATGATGCGTAGGTCAAACATGTAGTACAGCAGATGATACGTAGGTCTGAAGTGTAGTAGAGCAGATGTGTTTGCAGTTTTTTAGTTGTTTAGCCTATCTAAGAATGCCTGACGTGACAAACTGATTGAAGGTTAGAGCTGATTTAACTTCAAACACATATTTCTGATTTATTTTCTGTTGGAGGTTAAATGGAGGGGGTTGGGGGACGTCTTTCAGCCCTATCTCAAATTATGTCACCATTAATTTTTTTCCATGCAGCCAACAGAGTATATACCAGTATCATAGTGTTTCCATTTTCCTTAAGTTTCTGGCAAGAGGTAGGGGGAAGAGAAGCATAGAGAAACCCCTTCTTCTCTGCACTATTATTTTCTTTTTTTCTAAGAAGGCTGTACTGCCATGTTTTATTCCACACAGGGTTCTGCTCAGCCACAAGAAACTAGGAGAGAGTTTATCATAGAAGAGTTCCCTACCATTTTTCCTGTTTTTCTTCTTGTTTTTGTTTGTAGGTTTATGAAAGCTTTACTTTAAGTTTCATGTCCAAATCCAAGTTAGGCCTAGTGATCTTAAAAGTGGAGCCCACAACATTTTCCCACTAAGAAATCAATTTCAAATGCTGTTTTTGAAAAAAAGAGGAGTTGGAAATTTGGAGTAGTTAGGAAGGCAGGGTATCAAGGAACCCTTTTTTTTCTCCTGGATTTATACTCTTTCAAAGTTCTGCAGCATATTAAAGTTTACCCATTGGATTTACACTGCATGTATATAAAAATGAGGAGTTGCCACTATTTTACTTCAAATTACGGCCTCCTCTACAGCAATCTTTTCCTCGCAGCCGGCAGAGTATTGCAGTATCATAGTGCATGGTGGACAAACTATCAAGATTCTACTTTCAATGTTACAATTTTCCTTGTTTCTGGCGAGAAGGTGGGGAATGAGAAGCATAGAAAAACACCTCTCTCTCTGCACTAATATTTTCTTTTTATCCAAGTAGGGTGTTCTGCTATGTCTTATTCCACACAGGATTCCGCTCAGCCATGTGAAACCAGGAGTACTGTATAAGCACCTGACTGTGCTGAAGCTCCGAGGCAACTGAATTTTTTTTTAAAATTACATTTGGTATTACTACAACTATTTTTTAATTGTTTTTATAAATCATGAACTCAAATCTTTTTAGGCCCTTATCATAATCTGGACACGAAAAGGGGAAGTATTGCCAGGCTACCATTAGATTTTAAAGATCAGGAAAATATTCAAAAATGATAAAATTCAACTTTAAGATTTATATTTTTTAAACATTGGTATTAAAAATTTTATTCAACTTATTTTAGTTTATTTTGTTGCTGTTGCAGAAGAAACTCAAATCTTCAACTTAAAGTTTGTAAATAGTTTGTTCATAGAAAATAAGAAAAATTTATCCTTCTAATGCTAAGATTTGAATCCTTTTGATCTCTTTTTTAATTCTCTGATTAACAAATTTTGAAGAAAAACAATTAGAAAAAGAAAAATATGGTTTCTAAGAAAATAGCCAAATTCAACAAAGAAGCAAAAGCTGCTAAAACTCTTGGTAAGTTTAATTCCAAAAATATTAAGAATCAGGCAGTAAAAATGTTTTAAAATATTGAAATAAAAATTTAATTAATATGTGACTGAAAGATGCTAGCTCATTTATTCTGATTTCTTTTTTCCAAAATAAAAATGTTCCAACAAATTTTACACTAACAAGTTTTGCAAAGACTGGGTTTCGATCAGGCATCAGTTGTAAAAATATAAATCTTGCATTACAATTTCACACCATAAAGTTTTTCAAAGGTTTGGGATAATGTTGGACATTTTCATCTTTAATTAGGGTTTCCAACATAACAGATTATTCACTTATTCGAAATAACGTGCAGTTACGGAAAATAATTTTCATTTCTTGTAATTTTGCAGGAGTACATGTAATTTGCGAAACTTCAATTTTACGTAATTTTTACAAAGTAATTGCTCGAAATTTTTTATAATAATTACGCATAAATAGCAAAACTTTGATTTTGCAAAAATTAAAGCGTAATTTTGAGTGATTTTTATAAGGTAATTTAGCAAAATTTTGTAACAATTACGGGTAATCAGCAAAAAATCTATTTCACAAAATTACGCTGTAATTTTGCACGATGTCTACAAAGTAATTTTGCAAAATTTTGAATTAACTATGCCTAATTAGCAAAACTTCAATCTGAAAGTATTTAAATTATCCAATCAGATTGGACATGGTTGTAGCGCACATATCCTTACACATTTTTTCCTGCTGTAATCAATTCTGAGAATTAATATGTGTTTTTGTAATTACAGAATGGTTTTGTATTACTTAATTTCATATGATTACGCTTTAATTATGCAAAACTTGACTTTCTTTCGTATATGTAATTAACACATCATTTTGTGTAATGCGTAAGTGAAAGAAAGTGTTGCATGTCATTACACGTAATTATGCGTAAGGTAATAATGACTGGAAACCCTATAGTTAAATAAAAATTCAGGAACTGTGATGGGTGTCTTCATAATTTCCTGGCTTCCATTTTTTGTGATCAACATTGTGGCAGGATTCTGTCCTTCATGCATCAAGGTAAGAAGAAATCCTAGCTTTATTATTGCAGCTCAGCTACAGCATTGGCTTTAAAACTTTTATCATAGTATGCCATCTTTAATCATGGTACGCCATCTTTAATCATGGTACTCATCTTTAATTATTGTAGCAATGTAATTATTCATGCTCACACAAATATCATTTGATTGGCATACTATCCCAATTTACCTTACATAGTCTGAAATCAAAATTTCAGTCCAGTATTTGAAATTAACCAATATTTAAAGTGTGATAAAAATGATTTAATCATGATAGCCATCTATAATCTTAGACATCTTGTAATTTAAAAGTTTTGCCAACTTTCTCCTGTTATAGCTTAGTTTTTCCTTAAATCTTATAAATTTTTCTTGGTTAAACTATATACTCCACTTGTCTCTACATTGTGTGCACATTTTAAAAATCCCATGTTTGTTGAGGATGTGCAACTGGTTCTGGGTATAGCTACCTGGCTGGGGTGGACTAACAGCGCTATGAACCCTGTCATCTACACCTGCTGTAGTAGAGAGCTTAGAAGGTGGGTTCAGACTATTGAGTTCAAGTAAAAGTAAAACATATTATTATTGCAAAGCTTATACATATCCAAAAGCGTAAGGATGGTTTGTTAAATCAAAAGTATTTTCTCTGAGCCCAAACTGTAATAAATGTCAAATAACGAACAAGTCAGCTGTTTACTGGCAAATGAAGAAAGCCATTGTCTTCCCTGGATGGTCAAATCTCTGATAAAACAGCTGTTAAAATATTTAAAACCAAAACACTTAGTTTAGTTAAGAATGCATATTTCAGAGCTTTCTTTAAAACTTTGGGATGCTGCCATCCCTGCTGGACTCTACCTGGATTCTGGAGATCCCTTGCAATCAGTTCATACAAGGTGACTACAACAAAACTATTTAGAATTTAAAGGGACTGACACCAAATTTTCAATTCAACCAAGCAATACCCTTTAAACTTTTGTCAAAATAAAAAATTGAAACTTTTAATTTTCATTTGGGGATTTATTTTGTAGAAGGGGTTTACAGATTTATGAAGCAGAGACAAGAAAGAAAATTTACAGAAGTACAGACAAGAATTTAGATCTTAAACTTTGTTTTTTTTAAATCCACCGATAATTCAATAACTCCATTTTCAGAGCTCAACCCAAAGCTATAATACAGAACCAGGAAATCTGAAATTTGATCCCCAACTAAGAAGTCCGATGATTTACCTTGGTTCAGTTGTTCCAGAAGTTGTAGTTGTTCCACCTGTTCCAGTTTCCCAGTCAATTAGTAGTTCCTCAGAAGCCTGCCTAATAAAAGATATTCTTACTGAAGATTTGAATGGGAGTCAACAGAAATCTCAGACCTTTTCTGATTTTCAACAAGGAACGTATCCTAAATCATATTTGATAAACTGAATATATTTAAAGTTATTATTAATATTGATAGCTTAAATTTTAGATGAAAAAAGGATACTTAGAAATAATTTACAATATCCAAAGTATACATTAATCAAAAGCAGGAATACCAATAAAAATTTAAATTGATTTTAAAGATAATCATTATCTATTTTTAATTTTATCCTGAAAAAAATATATATTAAAATTTGTTAGAAGAAATAAATCGATTTTGGTCTATTTTGATCTATTCAAATCTACAGAATACATTGAAAGTTTAAAAAGTAATGGATTACTTGGAAAATTAGATTACAATCTGGCTACCTCATCACTGCCATCTTGCGGAAAAACCAAACAACTCAAGGTGGGTAATGGCTCAATTTTAATCATACTTTTTTGACTTGATTTAAATGCTTTTTCATAAAAATACTATTATACTCTTCAATTTGTTTGAAAGTAATTAAATAATAAAATCAATGAAACCATTGAAAATATAAAAAAAAAAATTGATAAAGAATTAAGTCTTTTTCACAAACTAAAATCTTCCAATCCCTTCATCTTTGCAACCGGAGATATTTTAAACTTAGAATATCTTGGTTACCAGAATTCAGAATTTGAAACATCTAAGGTAAACATTGGGTTGCAAAGATTTATGGATTAGAAAATCAGAGTATGTCATAAAGACTCAATTCCTGGGCCATTTACATTTGCATAAAATGATAATATTTAATGGATCAAACAATGCAATCAATAAATTTTTGAGCTCTTTTACAATTTAAACAAATACTAACTTATACAGCTAAAAGATGCCCCTCCGTATGAGGAGTGTGGAGAGGAACCTGGAATAACAGAGGAGTACCAAGTTCTAAATATTCGGTAAGGATGCCAACAAGAAATTATGAATATGTAAATAGGATCTCATAATGGCGCCATCAGGATATATTAATGTGATTTACATTTCCCCTTCATAACTAAGACACATTTTCATTTTTTTCATTTTAAAGTACTTAGATAAAATTAGAATAATAAACAGGCACAAAATTAGGAAAATTGGTTGTACAATTTGTGTATTCAATTTTAAAATGATAATTTAGCTCACACCATGAGAATAAAAATCCATATGGTTCAATTTAATTGAGCAGGAATGCAACTACAGTGTATGTCATGTATATCAATACATTCAAGTCAACTTCCGATAAAATTTTTATTTTTACCAAGCTTTCAAACCGAATGGATAATCATAAACATAGAATTAATTAACAGCTTCTCTTTACTTACTTGTGAACTTGTATTTTGGAGAAAATCTTGTTTGATATCAAAACTTAAATATAAAAGTTGTCCTCATTGTGCCTACCACTGTAAACCTAAATAAACTTTACCCCTAAGTATCCCCCCCCCCTCCAGTAAACATAAGCCAGGGTCTGAATTTACTGATAGAAAAAAGTAGTTGAAATAATGGATATTTGATCTCATTATTTACTTCAACAGAGCATGCACTACCAGTTAAGTTAAAGTATCTTTGCCTTATTCAACTAATTCTTACTTTCTATTAATTATGATTTCTGATGACTAACATCAAGATTAAACTATTAACGGAACATTTGATATTGAACTTATTTCATCTGGTTTAATAGGACTTAAAGGGACTGTAAAGGAAAAATGAAAGGGGGTATAGGCTAAAAGCTAATCACTTTAGCTCTTGATCGCGACCCATGTTTTATCTGATGTTCCTGTCTCCAGAAATTGATATAAAACTGTGTTAAAATTATACGAAAGTTCATATATGTAAAATTTAGAAAATCTAAAACTTAAATCATGTGACCAGAACTATTACCAATAGCAGAGCAGTATACTGGTCATGTGTCTCCGCCTGTGGCTGTATCACGTGACCACCTTACTGCACGACCATTGGTGGAATTTCTGGTCAAGTAATACTGACGTATAAATAATATTATGAATTAAATCTATCAAAAATAGAAATTACAAATATAAAATTAGAATTGGAGTAAACCTAAGTAATAATTAGCTTTCTCTGAGATATCATCGTTTTCAGATTGGTTGCTTATTTGCTGAATTTGATCTATTTAAACCCACTACTTTTATACAAAATTGTATATATATTAATTTTCGTATAAATTTGACAAAGTTGTAAATCAATTTCTCGAGATAGGAACATCAGATATAACTTTCATGGGTCGCGATTGAGAGCTAAAGTGATTAGCTTTCAGCCTATACCCCCTTTAATTTTTCCTTTAAAGTCCCTTTAAGGAAAAAGAAAAACTGAAACATAAAGATGAAAGATTACGAAACTGCAGATGTTAATGTAATATATCATCTGTACTATTCTAGGCGCCTGCATCCCACAGGAGTATTTGTATATAGAGTAGAGTCCCTCCAGCCTGTGATATCCTGTCTACAGAATACACAGTCTTTTACTCAAGGTAGTAGATTCTACATGATATCCTGTCTACAGAATACACAGTCTTTTACTCAAGGTAGTAGATTCTACATGATATCCTGTCTACAGAATACAGTTTGTTACTCAAGGTAGTAGATTCTACATGATATCCTGTCTACAGAATACACAGTCTGTTACTCAAGGTAGTAGATTCTACATGATATCCTGTCTACAGAATACACAGTCTATTACTCAAGGTAGTAGATTCTACATGATATCCTGTCTACAGAATACACAGTTTGTTACTTAAGGTAGTAGATTCTATATGATATCCTGTCTACAGAATACACAGTCTTTTACTCAAGGTAGTAAATTCTACATGATATCCTGTCTACAGAATACACAGTCTGTTACTCAAGGTAGTAGATTTTACATGATATCCTGTCAACAGAATACACAGTCTGTTACTCAAGGTAGTAGATTCTACATGATATCCTGTCTACAGAATACACAGTTGAAAGTGGATTATTTGTACGTAATTGCGAGCCCGGGAATTCCTTGCTATTGGAAACCCAGCATATAGACTTATTCTCACTAGAAGGAGATTTTACATTTAGTGTACAGTCAAGTTTACGGTCTATTGTCTTTATTTATACTTTTCATCTTGTTCTGGCTGCCTAGAGGTTGGTCCATTCTGACCAATCATGCATGATCCGAATCGGAATAAGGAATAACTGGACTAGGGTAATCACTTACAGTGACTTTTTTATACTAAAAAATTTCTCAGCTCAACCTTTTATATAATTATTTTTTTTTAAAAATTATTTAGCATCTTTAAACATCCTAAGCTCCAGGGCAGAATCTAAAGGGAAAATTAATGAAAAGGAATTGAGTTTTTGCCACAAATTAAAATCTTCTGATTCCAATATCTTTGCAATCTTATGGTGCAAACCTTTGATATTACAAACTTAGATTATTTTATCTATAAGTATTAATAGTTTGAAATATCTAAGGTCTACGACATTGGGTTACTAAGATATAGAGATTAGAAAATCAGAGTTGTGGCAAAATCTCAACTCCTTTCAATAAAAAATATGTGGATCAAATTTAGAGCTCTGATTTTGTATCTATTTTGTTTTGTTACAGCTGAAAAAGGACAAAGGGAGGACCATCATTCATCTGATCAAATTGAACCAGAAGAAGGAAATGGCTCAGAACTCATAGAAATGAACAGTTCAAAGACAGAGGCAAGTGATATTGTCAACCCGAATAAATGTGTGATAAACGAAAATGAAAGTGATTTTTTGAAGAATAGTAATCTTTGCAAAGCTTGTAATAATATAGAGAGGAAAGTTGACTCCGAGCATTTTTGTCAAATATATCATTCTTCAAAAGAGATGTTTTTCTAAAAGTTCAAAGACAACTTTAGAATGGTGAATATCGAAATCAATGCTTGATCTCATCTTTTTCTTAATCTCCAGATTAAATAATGCTTGTTCTCCTCTTGTAATTAATCTCCAGATTAATTAACCGATCGGGATTAAGGATATCCCATTCTAAAGTTTTCAGTTCAAGTTGTTATTTGACTCAAAGCTGAAATATTTAGTTCAAAAGAGAAAAACCCGCGATTTTTTTCGTAATTCAAAAGAAAAATCTAAATCTCTTCAAATAAACATATAAATATTGTTATTCATCGTTTCATATTTAACCAAACACTTGAGTAATATTTAAAAGAAAATAAGAAATGTATGATGAGTCATCTACATAAAAATATTAAATTCATAAAATTCATTGAATTCGAAAATATTGTTTTAAAAGGAAATTGTCTAAATTGTCTAACCGAACAAATTCTTTTTAATGATTGTCATTTCAAAAATGTTTTCTTTTGAAAGGAATTGAGTCTTTGCAACAAACACCGATTTTCTAGTCCCTTTTTATCTTTTCAATCCAATATCGCAGACCTGATATATTTCAAACTATGAATTCTGTCAGATTAAATTATCTAAGTTTAAAATATCAAAGTTATATGCTATCAGGTTGCAAAGATATAGAGATTAGAAAATTTAAGTTTGTGGCAAAAACTCGAAGTCAAACCTTATAGAAATCCAACGTATAGAAACCGCTACGTATAGCAACAAGGCGTATTTTTCGGGAGAGCATTTATATAGTTTTGAGAAATTAAATAATCAGTGTAAAGTAGATATAATTTTCATAAAATCCTTATATTTAAATGGTAAAACGGAGTTTTATGAAATCATGTTAGCATTACTGGAGAACTTTTTTATACTTTTAAGAATTTTTTTTTCTAAAAATAAAACTGTAGATAGCATTTTTATAAAATATTTTTTTAAATAGTAACATACAATTTTTATGTATAACCATAAAATCATTCATTTATGTTGTTAGTACATAATAAAATCTGGGGGACCTTAAACACAATAGAGGGCAGTACAAATGTACATATTAAACTATTTTGCTCCTTTAATGTCTAGGGTTATGTTAAAAAATAGAAATTATGATAATGATAATGATAAGCTACAATGTTTTACAAAAAGGTTTAATTTCTCAAAAATATAAAAAATGTTCTCCCGGAAAATACGCCTTGTTGCTATACGTAGCTGTTTCTATACGTTGGATTTCTATAAGGTTTGACTTCGAAAACTCAATTCATTTGTCTTCGTTATATTTAATGTCTTAGGTTTTTTTATCTTATCCAAACCCATGTATATTGTATGTTATATATATCTACCAGTAAATTTAATTGTTTTCTTTATACCTAAAACCTGTATAACCAATGTACAATGTATTGTAAAGTGTACGTTTCCATAATAACACATTTGATGTGCTTAGTAATAATAAAACTAAGCTTACTTCACTCATTGTCCAATAGATCCAAATTGGACAAAAGAATTGAGTCTATGTCACAAACTCTGATTTATCAATCCCTATATCTTTTCAACCCAGTGTCGTAGACCCTAGTTATTTCAAACCATGAATTCTGATGGATCAAATAATCTAAGTTTGAAATATCAAAGGTCTACCTTATCTGGTTGTAGAGATATATGTATTAGAAATTCCTTTATGTTTTAAAACTTTTAAAAAATATTTCGCTTCATATTTTGTCCCTATTTGACTACTAATTGTGATTAAAAAAGGAATTTACCTTCATAAATTTATTATTATATTTTTATATATCAAAGCCAATTAAAAACAAAATTTCTGTTTTTTCTTCTTGGAGAAAAAAATTTCGGAAATCCGTCTTTTTAAAATTTGTCTTTCAGTTCACAAAAATTCTAATTTTACATTATCATAGAATTTTTAAAGAAAATAAATTTTCATCACAAAAATGTGTTAATTTCAGAGAACTTTCTGAAATTGAGTCTTGCAATTTTTCAATTTTCTAAAAAGATTGGAATATATTGCAAGTTATATTCATAAAATATATTGAACATGTGATACTCTATCAAATATTGTATTCTAAACATATAAAAACCTGCTATAAGGAAAGTATAAAAATGTATAAAAATGAAATATATATGTAATGAAACTATGGTAAAGAAAGAGCGATGTGATACAGTAGTCTCCAGAAATCCATTTTATTTTGGGGACCCCTGTATGTCTCTTGGAGACCATTTAGAATTAGATTATGAAAAACTCTGAAAAAATTGGATTTTGTACTACAGAATCATATTTTTCGACTTATGTTAAATTTGGAAACTTAAAGTGTATCTCTTTTTAGGGTTAACTGGATGTATTTTTGAAACCATTAAATTGATTTGTGTATCACTTTTATCTTTATTTTTATATTATATAGATACCCATACTACAAGATAATTTTATTGAATAGTGCATTAGACAGCTAGAGTGGTTGGTTCATGTATATTTCTTTATAGTTTCCAAGCAAATAAATTATATACTATGTACTAATGCATGCAGAGTTATTCAAAAAGTAAAAAACTTAAAGGGACTCATAAGTCATAAATACGCAAGTAACTTTTACAAAGAGCCGCGAATGAACATTATCAATTGCTAGAGAGAAAACGAGGAAAACTCCAGCATTACGATAATAATGTTATCAAGAATTACGATAATAATTTTATCAAGAATTACGATAATAATTTTATCAAGAATTACGATAATAATGTTATCAAGAATTACGATAATAATTTTATCAAGACATCTAAACGTTCAATCGGTCTTTTGCGTTTTTTCCAAGTAAAAAAAAATATTAAAACTGATCTAGGTTTTGTTCTAATTAAGAGCACATGCCCCAGACTGCCCAGAGAGTAGTGACGCCAAGCACTCAAAAATAAAAAACTTACTTAACCTAACTATCTAACTTGTGAATCGCTAGACATGTACATTTTAGAACTATAAAGCACTATTTAGCTTTAGTTTTAAAGAAGTAATTGGCAAAATTCTCGTCGATTTTTCTTTCTTTGCCAAAAGATAAAGTATATCATTTAATTTATTTATTATTACAATGTGATACTGAATCCCCCTGCGTATATTTCATGGTGAATGCTAATGAATAATGTAAGAGAAATACAAATGTCTCTGAAGAGTGTTATAATAAAAATGTATCTTAAGAGTTTAAAAATAAAAATGTCTCTAAAGAGTGTAGAAATAAAAATGTCTTTAAAGAGTGTAAAGATCAAAATGTCTCTGAAGAGTGTAATAATAAAAATGTCTCTAAAGAGTGTAAAAATAAAAATTTCTCTAAAGCGTGAATAAAATAAAAATAGAAGTATACGTTAATGTACACTTTTCCGGCTTCTCTTGGATATAGTCGTTACCAGATTGGTTGCATATTTGCTGATTATGATCTATTTAAAACTATAGAATCTTATATCAAATCTTTTATATTAATTTCTCGATACAGGAACATCAGATAGAACTTTTATAGCTCTCGATCAACTCCTAAAATGCTCGGTTTCAGTAGCTTATACCACCTTTAATTTTCCCTGTACAGTCCCTTTAAGAGTATCAAGAATTTATCAAGAACTATTCAAGGTTATCATTAAACCATTTCTGAGCAAAATTAACGAATGATTTTCAATTGCTGGTGCTCTATGCCTTGCAGATGAGTGTAATGGAAACAATATATAATATTGACGTTGCTACTCAAATAAACAGTATCGCTGTAAATTGGTAATGCGACTCTTTTAATGGAGAGAATTTGGGTCTATTTTCCCTTTAACACGTTTTTTATATGTGTGACGTAAATTCTTAAGGTCATTTTAGTTTTTCAATTAAAAAAAATTTAATCATTTTTGAAACGAGAATTCAATTTTCATACAGTCGTCGTCATATATATTAGTACAATGAAGACGACTTTCGAATTAAATTTTGATCTATATCAAGCTGTTTAAAAGCGTAATTCGGAAAAGCGTGTTATCAACCAAACTTTACTGAAAATCGTCTTTATTCTATTGATATAATCACCTATCACTTATGTGCCCCAAGTAAGTCAGATAAGATCAAATAAAAAACGAAAAATTAAAGATAAAAAAGTAATAAAAGAATCAAATTAAATGACAACGCGGTTTATTATTTCTAAAACTTACAATCTAAATAACAGGTTTATCATGTTGACCTTCTTGGACTTAAATCTAAACATTTAATTCTAAGATTACACGGGTTGAAGGGGACGGGTCAGCTTCCAATTGTTAAACTGAATGTTTTGTGTAAAATCCCCCAGTCTTGGAATTGTCAGAGCTGGTGAATGGAAATCCGCGAATTTGTAAAATCAGTTGTTTTTAATGATAAACAGCTGATCACAATTCAGCTAATTTCCCAATCGTTTAGCCGGCAGCAAGTGTGGTGGTAGTTGTAGGAGCGACCGTTGTAGGCATGGCGACTGCAGCTGTTGCAGTATTTGCTCTTTCAAGTCGGTCAAACCGTACCATTAGGAATACAACCAACAAAATCAAACCAATCACCTAAAAAAAAGGTTTCAGACAAAAGAAGATTTTAAGAATTATCATAAATATATATTTAAGATATATGTATTATATATATATATATATATATGCACTCCTCAAATAAAGCATCTCTTTGCTTGAACTTAATAGTTAACAAGGGCAAATATATTAAATGTAATCTCTTCTTTTTTGCATCTCTCTCTATACATAAACAAATTTTGTATTACCATGAAACTTTTGAATATATTATCTAAGATAAATCGTAGTTTCAGATTAAAAACAAAAAAAGATTTTTTAACAAGTGTTTAAAACAATGGAGAATAAATAAAAAATATTGCATCAAGCAACATGTCCCCACATTGTATTGTTAAATCAATGTTTGTGTGTTCAAAATTCTGATAATAAAAGAATTTTTTTTTGAATTTAGGTTAGTGTGTTCTTTAACGAAAGTGCTTATTTAAAAAAAAAGTGAATTTCGACTTTTGATACTTATTATAATTATAAATAATTAAAATAAT